TCCAGAATTCCTCGCAGTGCTTGGTTTCCAGATCTCTCACCATCTTGATCACCCTTCTCCAGACATGTTCCAGCTTCCCAAATATCCCTAAACAGGACTCCAAGTGAGAGCTGACCAACGCAGCCTAGAGAGGTCAGGTCCACTGTCAAACATTTCTTATGGTCAGGAAGTTTTTCCTAGTGTGTAGTCTAAGGGTGCATTTACATGTAGAAATAATGCAGTTTGACACCACTTAAAGTGCTGAAACTCCGCTCTATGGAATCCTGGGATTTGTAGTTTCACAAGGTTTTTAGCCTTCTCTGTCCGAGAGGATGGATGCCTCAGCAAACTATTATAGAGCAATTCAAGTTTCTTAGGGCTTCAGACTTTATTAAGGAAACAAAAATATTCAAATATCAAAAATATCAACGCCAAGCCTGTTAGGGTCTAGCTTTAAATCAGCAGAGTAGCAGAAATGTGTCTTTGTCTAACTATGCTTCCTTAAGAACTGAGATCAAAAACAACACAAATAGCTTGCACTTTAAACAAAAGTTTACTAATGTCTTGAATCTACGGGATCATTCACACTACGTTATAACCTGGGTTGCAAACCAGTTTAAACGTGGGGCATTCACACTGGGATTGGATTTTTCAAATCCTCCTTAACCTGGGTTTTTACAGAAATGACTTTCCCCCCGTGGTTTTTGCAAAACACCAGGTTTTTTCAGGGTGCCGCCAATGTGAACTTGCTCCTGATTAGGTTCGGGCTTCCTGAAGGGAGGGATCAATGGGCAGAGGGTGGGCAGATGATACCCATGTTTAAACATTTGAATGGATGCCATATTGAGGATGGAGCAAGCTTGTTTCCTGCTGCTCCAGAGAAGAGGACCTGAGCAATGGATGCAAACCAAAGGAAAAGAGATTCCAGCTAAACATTAGGGAGAACCTCCTGACAGTAGGGGCTGTTCAACTGTGGAAGACACTGCCTTGGAGGGTGGTGGAGTCTCCTTCTTTGGAGGTTTTGAAACAGAGACTAGATGGCCATCTGTCAGGAATGCTTGGACTGTGTCTTCCTGCATGGCAGAATGGAGTTGGAATGGATGAGCCTTGGTTTTTTTTTCCAACTCTATGATTCTATGATATCTGCAGATGACTGTTGTATTACCTCTTATCCTATGGGATCCTGGGATTTGTAGTTTTACAAGGTTTTGAGCCTTCTCTGCCAAAGCCTCACCAAACTACCAATCCCAGAATTCTGTAGGATAGAGTCATGGTTCTTAAGGTGGTGTCAAGCTGCATTATTTGTACCAGGTAGATACACTTGTAACTCTAGGTTATGCATTTGTAACTGCAATTGTGAATTCCAACTCACTTTTTGGGGGGAGAGGGAACCCTCCATCCCGTGGTTTTTTGGGGGGGGATCAAATAATTTCCCCAAACACTTCAAGATGTGCAAATACTGGAGACAAAACTGTGAAAAGATTCATAGCCCTGTGTTCATTCTTCCTTTACTCCATTTCCTTACCTTCAGGAAACCCATTTTTTGGCTCGGAAATGAGCGGTTATTGCTCCCATTCCTAGAAGATATTTCCTTAGTTTATGAATTTGACAGCAAGGAAATGTTTCTCTTACCCCTTCTTTGGAGCTTCATGTCTACCTCCTGTTTAAAAATACCTTCCCAGCCCACATATTTCCAGTCTCAGCCTAACAAAGGTTGCTTCTCTGCAAGCTATTGTTTTCTGTTATTGTTTTCTGCCTTCCCATATATGCAACACATTTTGTTCTCGGATTGTGTTTTTTGAGAGGTCCGCCTATAAACATGACCCTGAAATACAGCATGCAGAGAAATGGTGCTTGCAGGGATATTTTTGGAACTGGGGATTGAAGAAAAAAGAAAAAGAGAAGCAAACGCATTGTCAAAACTAGCTCTTGTGAGCCCAAAATAACAGTCCTTACACCCCAGTGTGAGTATGTAGCTTATAAATAAATATCCGTCTTGCTTGGCTTGGCAGCAAGGCATTTCACGCAAATGTGGCGGATGGCTTAATCTAACTTGTGTCAAAGGGAACAACAATAAACAGCTTGGGGTGCGTAATTTTGAAGAAAACCTTTGCACCTTGCAGTTCTAGTGCTGCGGAGGCACACAAATGTCACCAGATTATGGCTTCACAATTTGCATTTTGCAAACCAGAATTCAAAAATGTCTATTCAGCTGGGCAATCTGTGGCCCTCTGCATCACATCAGTGCAAGCAAAAGGGATCTAGGAGTCTGAATAGACCACAAGCTAAACAGGCGCCAGCAATGTGATGCGGCAGCGAAAATAGCCAATATGTTTCTAAGTTGCATCAATAGGAGTATAGTGTCTAGATCAAGGGAAGTAATAGTGCTACTCTATTCTGGTCAGACCTCACCTGGAATATTGTGTCTAGTTCTGGGCACCACAATTCAAGAAGGATGTTGACAAGCTGGAGTGTGTCCAGAGGAGGACAACCAAAATGGTGAAGGGTCTGGAAACTACCAAGCCCTATGAGGAGAGACATAGGGAGCTGAGTATGTTTAGCCTGGAGAAGAGGAGGTTAAGGGGTGATATGATGTATTTGAAGGGGTGACATACTGAGGATGCAGCAAACTTGTTTTCTGCTGTTCCAGAGAATAGGACACAAAACAATGGATTCAAGGAAAAGAGATTTCACCTAAACATTTAGGAAGAATTTCCTGACATCAAGTGCTGTCTGACAGTAGAAGATGCTGTCCTGGAGATTGGTGGAGTCTCCTTCTCTGGAGGTTTTCAAACAGGGGCTGGTTGGCCATCTGTCACAGGGAGGGCTTGGATTGTGTCTTCCTGCATGGCAGAAGGATTGGATGGCCCTTGAGGCCTCTTCCAGCTACAGGATTCTATGAATCATCTCAAAAGTCCTCTGCAAATTCTCAGTTTGGACATGCATTACCCCCTCCTCAACTGTCCTGATGTGGCAGGGAGAGTCCTGATCCCACTCTTTCATCCCAGCAGAATCCCATCATCCTGGAACAGACCTCCAGTGTAAACACACTCACGGGACTTTCTGCTCCTCCAGGAGAAAAGAGGATCTCAGCTGAAAATTGGTTTATTGATGCAGATCAACAAACATGCATGCCTGTGGGTATTCTCCTTGAAGAATTTGGAGATATGGGCTGTCAAGCGAAGGCCCAGGCCATCAAACCACTCTACCCCACTGCCCCAATTCCTCCAAACTCCGTCTCCACATTTCACTGACATTGCGATGCAGCGACAGCTCTTCCGAAACACCTACAGTGGCTGCTGACGTTGACATGATGATAGTGGTGGTGATGATGATGATGATGATACAGCATCGCCTCCAGGCATGATGGGGAAGAAGGGCTTGGGAGAAGGAGAGTGCCAGGCAAGAAAGGCCTCCCACCGTTTTGTCATGGCAACAGATTCTGAAGGATGGACCTCCTGCTGGCCACTTCCAGCCACAAACTGTCTTGCTTGGGGCCACCCGGGGAAGAGATTACTCAATGGCACTCCACCGTGAGCCTGATTGTGGCTGACAGTGATGAGTCCATTGGGGACAAAGCTGAGGTCACTCCTCTGGGGC